CAAATTTCTCAACCTACCCCAACATTGTTTATACATTTTCGCTCATTTTCGGGAACATTAACACTCCACACGGCATACCACGGAGCAAGTGGATCATATTGGACACGACAAAAGTCTCTGAGACGCATTGTGAGAATGGTTGGCTGCCAGGATCCGCGTTGAAATTTCAACATCTCTCCAATTACCTGGAGAAGAAAATAGCAAATTGGAAAGAAAATAAATTAAATTTATTTGTAATCCTAGGAAAAAAGAAAACTAACCTCCATGCGATCGGTAGGTTTTACATCTTTCCATATAAAGGTCATATTACCCTCAACGCGAACAACACCGTCATTATATTCCAAAATTATTTCGGATATATCAACAATATCTAGGATTCCATTGGTGCCGGGCTTATCAGGACAGGCGGTAAATATTTGATCATCGTCTGGTGTAAATTCATAGTCGGCTCCTTGTAACATCTGCCAGGAAAGTGTGAAGAATATCCACCCAGTTGGTTTTGGAAATAACATTTTCCTTTGTTGAAATTCCGTCGTTTTCCGCAAAGTTTCAAAGTTTTTTGAAATATTTGATCGGTTTGCTGGTATTATGTATTTATAGTGGCAGACTTATGCGCTACCCTATAATTTGCAACTTTGTATAATTTGCAATTTTGTATTTCACAACTTTGTATGTCAGATCGTCATCGGACAGGAATAATAATTACAATGTTGGAGTATAAATTAAAATACTTTTTAAAACAATGTTTACAATCGCGGATTTCTTTTCAAATATTTTTAAAACAATATTTAAGAAATATGTATTTTTTAAATAAAAAAAAAAAATTCGCATTTTTTTAAGGCGATTTGAAGTATTTTTGCGATTTTTTTCTTAACATTGATGGATACATTTTTTGATATATAATGAAAATAGAGTGTTCTTTCCGTTGGCGACTTATAGTGAAATTTAGTGTAGAATATTTTACTGTTTGATACTTTCTGTCTAAAACAAAGTTTTATGTTACTTTCATGCAAAACTTAAAAAAAAGCGCAACAAAAAATCATCCAAAAATAATTTTTTTTTATTTTTTTTTTCAACATTGATACAAATATTTTCCTGATAAATAATGAAGATAGAAAGTTGCTTCCTTTCATGACTTATAGTGAAATTTTGTGTAGAATATTTCCCTCTTTAATACTTTCTATGTAAAATGAAGATTTTTGCCATTTCCATGCATCAACTCGAAAAAAGGCCCAAACAAATTCCTATAAAAATATGGAATATTTTCAAGTATTTTTTCGCAACATTGATGTATATATTATCTTGATATGTAATGAAAATAGCAAGATCTTTTCTTTGGTGACTTATAGTGAAATTTGATGAAGAATATTTCCTCCTTTCAAATTTTTCGTCTAAAATGAGATTTTATGCTACTTTTATGCGTCAACTCAAAAAAAGATCGAATCAAAATCCTTCAAAAACTAAAAAATATTTTTTGCGTTTTCCTTGCAAATTTGATACAAATATTTTCTTGACATATAGTGAAACTAGAGATTTCTTATCGTTGGTGACCTATAGTTATATATGATGGAGAACATTTTTCTCTTTGATATTCTCCATCTGAAACGAAGTTTTGTATTAATTTCATGCATCAACTCGGAAACTGCCAAAAAATCCATTGACAAAATAGTAGATATTTTCGGCTTTTTGACAATATCAATACAAATATATTCTTGATATATAATGAAAATAGACATTTCTTTTCTTCGGTGACTTATAGTAAAATTTGATGGAGAATATTTCTTCTTTTCGAACTTTTTGTCTGAAATGAAATTTTATGTTACTTTCATGCGTCAATTCAAAAAAAGGGTCGAACAAAAATCCATCAAAAACTAGGAAATATTTTTTGCGTTTTCCTCACAAATTTGATACAAATATTTTCTTGATATATAATGGAACTAGAGATTTATTTTCTTTGGAGACATGTAGTGAAATTCGGTGCAGAACATTTTATCCTTTAAAACTTTCTGCCTAAAATTAAGTTTAAGTGTCAATTTTATGCATCAGCTTCAAAAGAAGGTCAAAGAAAAATCCATCAAAAAATAGAAAATATTTTTGTTTTTTTTTTTTACAATATTGGTTCAAATATTTTCTTGATATATATTAAATATTGACATTTCTTTTCTTTGGTGACTTATAGTGAAATTTGATTAAGAATGTTTTTCCCTTTGATACTATTCATCTAAAATTATTTTTTATATAACTTTCATTCATCAACTAAAAAGGCCGGAAAAATCCACCAAAAAATTGAAAATATTTTCTCATGTCTTCGCAACGTTGATTCAAATATTTTCTTGATATATAATAAAAAGAGAGACTTCTTTCTCTGTGGTGACTCATAGTAAAATTTACTGTAGAATATATTCCCCTTTAAAATTTTTTGTCTGAAATGAAGAATCCATCAAAAAAATATGAAATATTTTCTGGCTTTTTTCGCAATATTTATTAAAATATTTTTTTGTGAAATATCAAACATAGATCTTTCTTTTCTTTTGTGACTTATAGTAAAATTTTGTATAGAATATTTTCCCCACTAATACTTTCTGTCTAAAATAGAGTTTAATGCTACTTTCATGCATCAACTCGCAGAAAATAGTCAAAACAAATTCCATAAATAATATTATTTTAATTTCCTTTAAAATTCGATATATAATTAAAATAGAGAGTTCATATTTTTAGTAACCTCTAGTGAAATTTGATGAAGAATATTTCCGCCATTAGTACTATTTCTCAGAAATGAAGTTTTATATCACTTTCATGCATCAACTCAAAAAAAGACCCAAAAAATCCATCAAAAAATATAAAATATTTTCTCGTTTTCTTCGCAACATTGATTCAAATATTTTCTTGATATATAATGAAAACAGAGATTTCTTTTCTTTGGTGGCTCATAGTAAAATTTGGTATTGACTATTTCTCCTTTGATAGCATCTGTCTAAAATAAAGTTTAATGCTACTTTCATGCATCAACTCAACAGTCAAAGCAAATTCCATCAAAAAATACAAAATATTTTGTCGATTTTTCTTTTCAACATTGTTACAGGTATTTTCTTGATATATAATTAAAATAGGGATTTCATTTATTTGGTGACTCATAGTGAAATTTACTGTTAAATATATTCCCCTTTAAAAGTTTTTGTCTAAAATAAAGTTTTATGTCACTTTCATGCATCAACTTAAAACAGGCCGAAAGAAGTCCATCAAAAATTTGAAAATATTTTCTCGTTTTTTTTTTTTTGCAACATTGATTCAAATATATTTTGGATATATAATGAAAATAGATATTTCTTTTCTTTGGGAGCTCACAATATAATTTGATATAGAATATTTTCTCCTTCGATAGCTTCTGTCTAAAATAAAGTCTAATGCTATTTTCATACATCAACTCAAAAAACAGCCAAAGCTAATTCCATAAAAAAAAGAAATATTTTGTCGATTTTTTTCCAACATTGTTACAGGTATTTTCTTAATATATAATTAAAATAGAGATTTCTTTTCTTTGATGACCCATAGTGAAATTTACTGTAGAATATATTCCCCTTTAAAAGTTTTTTTCTAACATAAAGTTTTATGTCACTTTCATGCATCAACTCAAAAAAGGCCGAAAAAAGTCCATCAAAAAAATTGAAAGTATTTTCTCGTTTTTTTTTTTTTTTTTTCAACATTGGTTCAAATATTTTCTTGATATATAACAAAAAAAGAGGTTTATTATCTTTGATGGCTCATAGTAAAAATTGGTATAGAATATTTTCTCCTTTGATAGTTTCTGTCTAAAATAAAATTAAAAGCTACTTTCATCAACTCAAAAAACAGCCAAAGCAAATTCCATCTAAAAATAAAAAAATATTAAAAAAATAATAAAATATAATATAGAATGAAAATAGAGATTTCTTTTATTTGGTGACTCATAGTGAAATTTACTGTTGAATATATTCCCCTTTAATACTTTCTGTATAAAATGAAGTTTTATGTCACTTTCATGCATCAACACAAAAATATACCAAAGAAAAATCTATCAAATAAACACATCTTTTTTTCCGAAATATTGATAGATACAAATATTTCCTTGATATACAATAAAAATATGGACCTCATTTCTTTGGTGACTTTTCGTAAAATTTGGTGCAGAATAGTTTTCCCTCTGATATTTTTTGTCTAAAATGAAGTTTAGTGTCACTTTCATGCCTCGAATCGAAAAAAGAGCAAAGAAAAATCCCTCAAAAAATTAGAAGTATTTTTTGCGTTTTTTATAACATTAAAAGAAATATTTTCTTGATATAAAAAGGGAATAAGGACATCTTCTCTTTCGTAACTTATAGTGAAATTTGATGAAGAATATTTTCGTCTTTGACGTTATCCTTCTAAAATGTTGCTTTATTGGAGAATTTTACATAAACTCACATGAAATACAACATTAACCCCAAGATGTGTTTTTAGCATTTATGAATTCTTGGGGTTCTGATAAGATTTAAAGTTTTGATTTGTTCTGCGACCTATAGTGAAAATCTATGGCAAATAATTTTGTAAAATATTTTGGTTTGCTACAATCCCATTTTAAGGGAGTTCTTAGCTTTAAAAAAAGGACCAAAAGACTCCTTTGGTGAGTCGCTTGAGGTTTAATTTTTTCCAGTAAAATAATCCTTGTATTGCGATCAGGGATTTTAAGGAACCTCAATTCGAAATTTTCCAAAAAAAAAAACTTGGGAGAATGGGCTACCTGGCACTCCACCAACATGACCCCTTTTGAGACTCGTTTAAGGGTTAAAATGGTAGACCAAAATAATCCTCAAATTGCTATCAGTAATATATGCCGAAGACATATTTATCAAAAAAAGACAGAATTCCAAGGAATCTTATTTCGAAAATTTATAATAAAAAAATGTAGGAGATGGGAAACTTGCCATACTTCACCCCCTCCTACACCACGCTTTAATTCCATAATCTGCTGAGTTTCTCCTGTATTTATTTTTTTTCTGTTGCTTTGTGTTATTCATTTATTTTCTCTGTCATATTCCTATTTTTTTACTCTGTTTCATTTCACTTTAATAAATTCACCAGAAATTTGAAAACAAACAGCAGCATTACGACGCTTAACATTCTGTTTATCATAGGCATCCAGGTGGATGACGATTTTGTGACGGCCCTCCATGTTGGTGGGAAAATCGTTGACAGTTTCCACATCGAATGGCTGGTAATGGTAAACATGCTGTAAATGCAAAATAAATATTTTAAATTATTATTAAAAAAATAAAATTTAGCACATTTTATTACTCCATAATGATTTATGCATTTTCGGTGCTCCTCGCGGATGTGACGAGTCCATATGTCATACCATATTGAGTTGTTATCAAATTGACGCTCACAGAAATTAAAAACTCGCACGAAGAAGGTTGTTGGCTGCCAAGTGCCACGTTGGAATTTGAAGAGTTCGCCATAGCCCTGAACAAAACACAAAAAGTGAGGGAGAGAGAGAGAGAGAGAATAAATATATATATATATATATATATATATATATATATATATATATATATATATATATATATATATATATATATAATATATGTATATATATATATATATATATATATATATATATATATATATATATATATATATATATATATATATATATATATATATATATATACATATATATTTATATATATATATATATATATACAATTAAGAAAAAATTAATCCCAACTTACAGCAATCCGATCTGTGGGCTCCACATCCTCCCACATCATTTTAGCCTCACCGCTACAGCTAACATAGCCCTCATTGAATTCAATTGTAAGTCCCGTTAAATCGACTATGTCAAAAATTCCCTTAGTGTCCGGCATATTTGGACAATCTTCAGCAATATCCTCACTGTCCCGTATAAAATCGAAACGATGTCCAGCCGCCAGGGAAACTGAACCCAAAATCCAAATCCACAGCATTTTTCAAAAGGTGTAGTATTTCTCTCGGCGGAATACGAAATAATACAATTCAATAAAATTCCACATTCCGTTTTATATCTGTTGTGCAATTTTGAAATAAAAATGTGATTCTAATTTTATCTTAGATTATTCGGATAATCTGTAACAGCATTAAATGGTATCAGTAAACAAATTAAAATTATTATTTTCATGGGGAGGCAACAACAGCTGCAGAAATGCTGGTACCATTTAATCGCAAGCACATAATTATACCCTACACCACATAGCGGTAAGGGTATTATGTCTTTGGGCATTTGTTTGTAACAGGGGGAAGGAAGCGCGATAGACCCATGGTTACTTTTGAGGATCTTCATAGAATCACTTTCTGAGTCGATTTATGCATGTAAGTCGCACTTATTATCCGATTGAGATTAAATTTTGCAAACAATATTTGTTTGGCCCAAGGACGAACCCTATTGAAATTGGTGATAATCGGAACACATTTAGATATAGCTCCCATATATCTTCAACCGATTTCGGGTTAGTTGTGCACCAAATGGCCAATATAAGTCCAAATGATCTGAATTTTGGAATATCCCACCGAATTCAGTCTAGAAGCAAGTAAAATCAAATTTGGTGAATATTAGTTCAGATATAGCTATAGCTCCCATATATATGTTTCATCCGATTTGGAGTTTTAAGTTCTTCACATGCAATCCAGAAAAATGTTATTTAGTACAGGACATCAGATACTGCTCGAAAATGCCTCTGTTTTTAATTTAAAATTCAATTAAAAAATTTTTACTTCTACTACATGTGTCTCGTACCATCGCTCGATACCGTGACACTGGTAGCGTAGCCCAACATCAAGGAGGTGGATGGAAGAAAACATCAACATCAGCAGAAATGGTTTGAAAAGTAATGAAACGACTTGATCGAAACCCGCGTCGCAATGGCCGAAAAATGGCTCGTGAGCTGAACATATCGCAATATTCCATTCGGCAAATATTGTAAAATGAGCTCGGGGTAACGCCATGAAAATTTCAAAAAGTGCAAGAACTTATACCGCAACGGAAAGAAAGTAGACTCAAAAGAGCTAAAGAGTTGCTTCGCTTGGCCGAATGTGGTGAACTGCCGAATTTGGTTTTCTCCGATGAGAAAACATTCCATTTGTTGGTCACCAGAACTCAAGCGCCGGCCATGGTGATGGTGCCGGCCGCCATAACGCCCGATGATCGCTCTCCGCTCGTATTAATCAACCGTGGCGTCAGAATAAATGCCGAAAATATTCTGAAGGGTGTATTAATGCCATGGGCACGCAGACCTTGGACATTCCAACAGACTCAGCAACATCGCATTCAGCACGCGCCACCCAATGGTTACAAAATGAGGTTCCTCGCTTCATTTCCAGCACACAATGCCACCAAAATCTCCGGATAACAATCCGTTGGACTATTGTGACTGAAGTATATTGGAAAGCAAAGTTGGCACTAAAAATACCAAAGTGTCGATCACCTCAAGCAAGCGCTTCGCAGGGAATGGGCCAAAATACCGCAGAGCAACGTTCGGGCAGCATGTGATGGCCGTTCATTGACCGTATAAAGGCCATAATTCGTGCCAAAGGTGACCAACTCGAATAAATCTAAACTTATTCTAAAATTCCGACATTTTCTTTACAAAAAGAAATGGAAAAACTATAGCATTTGACTTAGTTGCAGTTTTTAATCTCACAGAATATCCTTTCAGGGTCTTCAATAAAAGAAGACGTTGTCCAATCTTCTGTAATGGGACTATCTTTCAAGGTTTTTATTCAAAAGATAGTTTGAAGGTCTTATATATAAAGAAGGCATTCTGAAAGTTTTCTATAAACAAACCACAATTGCAATGGCTTCTTAAAATTGAAAATGATTCCAATCTACAAAAAGTCCTTTTAATGAACTTCTATAATGAAGAGACCTTCCAATTCCTCTATAATGGAAGACCTTTGAAAGGTCTAGAAGGAGACGAACTTTCACCTAGGTCGTCGATCAATAGCCGACAAAATACGCACAGACGTGTGACTCGTCCGCAGTCTCGTTTCTAGTTAGCCACGATTTGAGCCAGCTATCCCAGTGCTTATCACGCTCCCAGCACTTCGCAAGCTCCCAACGCTTTGCCCGCTCCCAGTTTTTTAATAAGCTCCCAGCTCTTAAGCAGCTCAAGTTCACAGCCAGTTCACTGTTCTTAGCCAGCTCCCACTAACCGATCTTTTCCCACAGAAAACCCGAATAACACAAAGTATAGTCACACACCCATCGACAGTCGAAACAAACAGCCACCAGATTGCCCAGAACCGAAGGCCACCCAATTACCTCGAGCCGACCACAATCCGAGTAGCGCAGAGCCGAACTACTCACACGACAACTGCCGAGACGACATCAAACCGATTACCCAACCCGAAGGCGAACCGATTACCGCGAGCCGATCACAATTCGAGTAGTGCACACACGTCTGATCTCCACCTGGACCGACAGCATCCGAAAACAGCCTTTTCCCATAGAAGACTTTTTTAAAGATTTTCTATATGGGACATATTTTGGATACTTGCCCTTCATAGAAGACATCTTGAAAAGCGTTTTTCCATAGAAAAAGTTTTGAGAAGTAATTTCCCATCAAAGGCCTTCAAATGAGATCTGCATCTATGGAAAGCCCTTTCAAATGTCTTCTACAATAGGAAATTTTTTGAAAAAGAATTTTTGCATAGAAAACCTTTTGAAAAGACTTCTTCCACAGATGACGGCCATCTTAAGCAGAGGGTCTTTTACAGAGTTCTTCCCTCTTCGAATATCTTTTAGAAGAGCTTCCAAACCTTTTTTCTAACCCTTAAAAAATTCCATTCCATGGAAAATCCTAAAAATCCCTCTTCCATACAAAACTACTGAGAAGACCATTGGCAATTTCATTAAATAGTTTCTTTGGCAATATTACCGATATCAATTAGAGGATTATTTTTGTGTAACATAACATAACCCTCAAGCGAGTCACCAAAGGAGTCTTGTTGGTGGAGTGAAGATCTCCATTTTTCCAAATTTTTATTTTTTTTTTTTAATTTCTAGTTGTGATTTGAGGTGGCCTTTTTTAATAGAAAGCTCTTGGCTAAGTCGAAAAAAGACAAGAGAAAAATTCATAAAAAAAATCCTTCGTTTTTTCGCAAAATTGATTCAATGATTTTCTTGATATATAAGGAAAATATAGATTTCTTTTCTTTGGAGACTTATAGTAAAATTTGCTGTAGAATATTACTCTATTTGATACTTTCTGTATAAAATGATGATTTTTGTAAGTTTTATGTATCAACTCGAAAGAGGACGGATAAAATCCATCAAAAAAAACAGCAAAAAATTGCGAGTTTTTTTTCGCAACATTGGTGGATATATGTTCTTGATATATAATGAAAATAGAGAGTTCTCTTCTTTGGTGACTTACAGTGAAATTTGATGGAGAATATTTTTCTCTTCGATGTCGTTCTTCTAAAATGTTGTTTTATTGGAGAATTTTTCATAAAATCAGATGAAGGTCGTACTTAGCCCTAAAATGTGTTTGTGAATATTTAGAAATCCCTGCTGTTTAGGTTGTATTTAGAGTTTTTATGTATTCTGGGACCTATAGTAAAATTAGACGACAAATAATTTTGTAGTATATTTTAATTTGCTACGATCTCATTTAAAGGGATTTTTAACCATTTTTTGAAAAATGGACAAAAATTACACATATTCTTGGCTTGTTTGGGGGTTAAAATGTACCACCCGAAAAATCGTCGAAGACACTATATACCTAAAATGCATGCATTTTAAGGGATATTAACCCGAAAATTTCTAAAGAAAACTTAAAGAGTGGGGATCTTGCCGCACAAAACCAAAATTACCTCTTTGGTGACTCGCTTGAGAGTTATAATGTTTAACCGAAATATTCCTCGTATTTTTATAAGTATAAGTAGAATATTTTGTTTTGCTACGATCTCATTTAAAAGGAGTTTTCAAACATTTTTTGTTAAAAGGGCAAAAAAGTCCCCTTTGTCGACTCGCTTGAGGGTTAGAATGTCTAACCCGAATAATCCTCCTATTATTATCATTAATATCGTCCAAGACATTATATACCTAAAATGCATGCATTTTAAGGAATATTAATCCGAAAATATCAAAAAAAATTAAAAGATAGGGGAACTTGCCTCACTACACCAAGAGGACCCCTTTGGTGGCACGCTTGGGAGTTATAATGCCTAACAAAAATATTCCTCGTATTATTATAAATATAAGTAGAATATTTTGGTGTTTTCAATTTTTTTTTTTTTTTTGTAAAAAGGACAAAAAGGACCCCTTTGTTGACTCCCTTGAGTTTTAAAATGTTTAACCCGGATAATCCTCCTATTATTATCAATAATATATATTCCAAGCCACTATATACCTAAAATGCATGGATTCCAAGGAATATTAATCCCAAAAAAATACGAATATTAATCAAAAAAATTAAAGAGGGGGGATCTTACCCTTCTACTTCGGCAAAAGGACCCCTTTTGGTGACTCACTTGAGAGTTAAAAGGTTTGACCGAATTATAGCCCGTATTTAAAGTAAGTAAAAGTACTACAACGCAAAAAGTCCAATTAATTTTAAGTTGAATATTTCAAAAAATTTGTGGAAGTATGAAGAATTTGCTGCCCTCCACCCCCTCCTATTTAGGTTACTTGGCAATGTAATCTTTGAAAACGCCAATCTTCTATTTTTATCTCGACTTTCATAATCTGCTAAACTTTTCCTGGAATACTTCTTTTCCTTGGCTTAAATTCGTTATACTTTCAAAAGCATTTGAAGGCAATCATCCTACCCGCCATTCTTTTCCATCCGATTTCAGATTAAATTATTTATTTCCACTGAAACCTTATTTCACTTTAATAAATTCACCAGAAATTTGAAAACACACTTCAGCATTGGCACGTCGAACATTAAACTTGTCATAGGCATCCAGATGGATGACGATTTTATGAAGCCCCTCCATGTTGGTGGGAAAATAGCTTACAGTCTCCACATCAAATGGTTCATAATGGTAGACATGCTGCAATACATAAAAAGTATTCAAAATTATTATGAAAAGGGAATTTCCGAGAATTTTAAATATGTTTTACTTCATAATTATTTATGCATTTCTGGTCCTCCCGGCGTATGTGACGACTCCAGACATTATACCATATTGTGGTGGCATCAAATTGTCGCTTACAGAAGTTAAACTCATGTACCAGTACGGTTGTTGGCTGCCAAGTGCCACGTTGAAATTTGAAGAGCTCAGAGTAGCCCTACAAAAAAACGAGAGAGAGGGAGAGAGAGAGAGCAAGATTAGATTATTTTTGGGTTAAAAACACATTTTTAACGTCACATATCCTGTGGGGACACATATCCTGTAAGGACATATATCCTGTGGAGACACATATATCCTGTAAGGATACATCTCCTTTGTGAAAGTTTCTTACATAAACACGATCCGTGGCTTCCACACCCTTCCAATGCATTGTCATTTGGCCCCTGCCGCTAACATAGCCCTCTTTGAATTCAATTATAAATTCCGATAAATCAACAATGTCATGGATTCCCATTGCCTCTGGTCGATCTGGACACTTTTCGAAAATTTCATCATTATCCACAATAAAATCGAAATAAGATCCCATTACTAGGGATATGGAACAAACTATCCAAATCCAAGGCAATTCCCCCATGGTTTTTCGACTCTCACGTTTACACACAAAAGAACCCAGGTTGCAGTGTGACAACTCCTTTTATATTTGTTGGATTTGACATTTAAATAATGGCTAGCGATTAATTTCTCATTAAAGATAATTTTGTTAAAAGATAATCGGAAATAGAATTAATTTGTAACGCAATTACGATCACAGTGAAGGGTAAAACTTTGGAGTTACGAACAGTTAACTGATGTTTATAATATAAAAATTATTTTTCTAAATTGTTACCACTCTCTAACTTCGGATTTTTTTGCCATGCTTTATTAAAATGGCTATAACTCAATTCAAAATTAATTTTTTCAAATCGCTATAACTCTTTTTGTCAGTTTTGTTCAAAGGAGTCCTTCTAACGGTCAACCAATTATAAAAAGGCTCTCAAAGATCATCTGTCTTCAGGGTGAGATGAAAAAACTGCAACCAACTTCAGACTGCTGTCATTTCCAAGCCACTCGTCCGACAGCTGTTAGAATTATTCCAGTGACAGGTCATTATATTGTTTACAAGCGCACAAAAGCATTTTGGTGAGAATTTTCCAGAAAAAAAGTTATTCGTGATGGAATTCAAGCGTTATAGTGTGATTTCTTTATATTTGGCTGGAAAAGCACATGTGGCTATCGTTAGAGCACTCCAGCATTTAATTGTGATACTGGTAGGGTAGCCCGACGTCAAGGAAGTAGACGGAAGAAAACTGCAACATAAGCAGAAATGGTTTGAAAAATAAATAAGCTACTTGATCGAAACCCACGTCGCAGTGGCCGAAAAATGGCTCGTGAGCTAAACATATCGCAATATGCGATTCGGCAAATATTGAAAAATTTGCTCGGGGTAAAGCCATTGAAATTCCAAAAAGTGCAAGAACTTACACCGCAACGAAAGTGGTGAACTGCCGAAATTGGTTTTCTCCGATGACCAGCAGATTGTAAAGATTGTCCAGCAGATCGTATGTCGTTTGGCCACCAAAACTCAAGCCCCGGCCATGGTGATGGTGTGGGCCGCCATAACACCCGATGGTCGATCTCCGCCAGCATTAATCTACCGTGGCATCAGAATAAATACCGAATATTATCGTGAAAATATTCTGGAGGGTGTATTAAAACCTTGGGCACGCAAACATTTTATCCGCAGACCTTGGCCAATCCAACAGGACTCAGCACCATTGCACTCAGCACGCGCCACCCAAGAATGGTTACAAAATGAGGTTCCTCACTTCATTTCCAGCGCACAATGGCCACCAAAATCAATACGTTGGATTATTTTGTCTGGAGTATTTTGGAAAGCAAGGTTGGCACTACAAAATACCAAAGTATCGATCACCTCAAGTAAGTGCTTCGCCGAGAATGGGGCAAAGTAACACAGAGCAACATCCGGGCAGCGTGTGACGGTTTCATTGGCCGTTTGAAGGCCACAATACGTGCCAAAGGTGATCAATTCGAACAAATCTCAACTTATTCTTAAATTGGATGGTATTTCCGACATTTTTTGCTTTCATTCAATAAAATTTAAAAAAAAAATAAAAATTATGGTGTTTGACTTTTTGCAGTTTTTTTATCGCACCCTGGAGCTGTGCGAAGACCTGGACCAGCATAGACAATTTTCTGTCATGGGCTGTAATATCCATTACGAACTTTAAATATGACATCTCAAACAATTTCGGTGAATATTGTACCTAAACTCGTCAAAATACCGAATATAGGGAGGTACTGGTATATGGGCATATACGAAGACCTGCATAGAAAATTTTCTGTCACAGACTGTAGTTCCCATTACGAACTCTAAATACGTAATTTGAAACAATTCCGGTGAATAATGACGCTAAAATCTCCAAAATACCGAATATCGGGAGATACCGTTATATGGGGGCTATACGAAGGTATGAACCTGCACAGACAATTTTCGTTCATAGGTTGTAGTATTCATTATGAACTTCGAATACCAAATTTGTAACAATTCCGGTTAATAATGCCGCTAAAATAATAAAAAAAAAAACCGTATATAGGGAGGTACCCTTATATGGTGGCTATACGAAGACGTAGACATGCACAGATAATCTTCTGTCTTAGGCTGTAGTATCCATTTCGAACTTCAAACACCAAATTTGAAATAATTCCGGTAAATAATGCCGCTAATATTATCAAAATACCGAATATCGGGAGGTACCGCTATATGGGGGCTATACGAAGACGTGGACCTGCACAGACAATTTTCTGTCTTAGGCTGTAGTATCCATTACGAACTTCAAATACCAAATTTGAAACAATTCCTGTAAATAATGTCGCTAAAATCATCAAAATACCGAATATCGGGAGGTACCGTTATATGGGGGCTATACGAAGACGTGGAGCTGCACAAACAATTTTCTGTGTTAGGCTGTAGTATCCATTGCGAACTTCAAATACTAAATTAGAAACAATTTCGGTGAATAATGACGCTAAAATCTTTAAAATACCGAATATCGGGAGGTACCGTTATATGGGGGCTATACGAAGACGTGGACCTACATGGCCCATTTACGAACTTAACCTGCCTGCTGAAAAAATAAACATTTGTTCAAAATTTTAGCCTTCTATCTCAATTTGTTCGAAAGATGGCGTGATTAGAACAGACAGACGGTCAGACAGACAAACGGACACACAGACAGTCGAACATCGCTAAATCGACTTAGAATTTTACGCTGATCAAGAATATACATACTTTTTTGTCTGACATGAGTATTCCGAGGAGTTACAAACGGAATGACAAACTTAATATACCCATACTTTGGTGGAGGGTATAAAAAAATGTGAAAGAGGGGGAACTCCGAACGGCACTCCACCAAATGGATATCTTTGATGACTCACTTGAGAGATAAAATATTGTACTAAAAAAGTCCTCGAAATATTATTGGGCAATATACCTAAAATGCAAGGAGTGCCATAAATTTATTTGAAAATTTTAAAAATGTAGATGCAGCACTCCACACCCTCCGATTCGGGTAAATTTGTGATATAACCTTTCAAAATGCCAATCTTCCATTTTAGCTTCACTTTTATATAATATACGAAGTTTTTTCCGGAATAATTCAAAAAAGTCAATATTCTCAACCTTTATAATCTATTATGTTTATCCTGGAATATCCTTGACTAGGATCTGCTATATTTTCAAAAGCATTTGAAAACAAATTTTTCTCTATCCGATTTTAGATAAATTTATTTATTTCTACTAAAACCTCATTTGACTTTTATAAATTCGCCAGTAATTTGAAAACAAACTTCTGCATTGGGGCGTCTAACATTTGAATTGTCATAGGCATCCAGGTGGATGACGATTTTATGACGTCCCTCCATGTTCATGGGAAAATAGTTTACCGTCTCCACATCAAATGGTTCGTAACGATAGACATGCTGAAATACACCAAAAAAAATGTTGAAAGAAAATAGATTTGAAAATTTAAAAAAATTATTACTCCATAATTATTTATGCATTTTTGGTCCTCCTTGCGTATGTGGCGACTCCAGACATTATACCATATCGTGTTGGTATCAAATTGTCGCTCACAAAAACTAAACGCGCGTACCAACACGGTTGTTGGCTGCCAAGTGCCACGTTGAAATTTGAAGACCTCCGCATAACCCTGCAACGAAAAAAAAAACGAAAGAAGAATATTACATTCCGGCTTGGAGGAAAGAAATATCCTCAAGGATACATCTCCTCCATTGGGAGAATCTTACATCAACACGATCCGTGGCTTCCACACCCTCCCAATGCATTGTCATCTGGCCCCAGCCGCTAATATAGCCCTCATTGAATTCAATTGTAAATTCCGATAAATTAATAAAGTCACGAATTCCCTGTACATTTGGCCTATCTGGACACCTCTCGAAAATATCATCATTATCCACAATGAAATCGAAGCGGGGCCCCACAACTGGGGAAATAATATAAAATAGGCAAATCCAAGGCTTTAGAAGCATTCTAGCCATTTTTAACGGACACTTAAGTTTAGACAAAACAACGCCGAATTTCTGTGGCGTAATTCGTTTTATATATTTCGATCTGCTCTAGAAATGGGTGGAGATTAATTTGACATGTTGTTAATAAATAATCAGTAACAGAAATCAACGAAATTTAAATTATGGGTATTACCGAAGGCAACTACAGTAAAGGGCAAAATTTAAGTGTCATGAACAGCTTACTGATACTAATACACTGAGGACCTAATATATCAATGGTAGAATAAATAGAACTCTTTAAATATTGGCTTTTCGGAGTATTTAGCACGAATGTGGCTTCAGTGTTTTAACAATGAACAACTCATTTCTTAACATGGCTGTAACTCCTTATTTTTATTCTGTTTTCCTGAAATGAAAAGAGATTTTTTTAATAGTTTTTTCCTCAGTGTTTTTTTTAAGAATAAGAGAAAAATAAATGGTGAGACAAAAAAAATTTTAATTAATTAATTTTTACATTTTTTTAATTCTTTTGAATGAAAGCAAAAAATGTCGGAAGTAGCATCAAATTTTAGAATAAGTTTAGATTTGTCGGAATTGGTCACCTTTGGCACGAATTATGGTCTTCAAACGGCCAATGAAACCGTCACACGCTGTCCAAATGTTGCTTTGCAGTATTTTGGCCCATTCCCGGCGAAGCGCTTGCTTGAGGTGATCGACACTTTGGTATTTTTTAGTGCCAACCTTGCTTTCCAAAATACTCCAGATACAATAGTCCAACGGATTGGTATCCGGAGATTTTGGTGGCCATTGGGCGCTGGAAATGAAGCGAGGAACCTTATTTTGTAACCATTCTTGAGTGGCGAATGCTGAAAGCGATTGTGCTGAGTCCTAGTCCAAAATGTTTGCGTGCCTAAGGCTTTAATACACCCACCAGAATATTTTTGCGATAATATTCGGCATTTATTCTGATACCACGGTCGATTAATACGAGCGGAGAGCGACAATCAGCTGTTATAGCGTCCCACACCATCACCATGTCCGGCGCTTGAGTTCTGATGGCTGGTGGCCAACCGAAGGTGCAAATTTTCAGCTGACCTCTCTGGCAAGTAAACACGATCATTTTGTTTGTTTACAAACTGCTGGACAACGAATGTTTTCTCATCGGCATCGGAGAAAATCAAATTCGGCAGTTCACCACTTTCGGCCAAGCGAAGCAACTCTTTAGCTCTTTTGAGTCTATTTTCTTTCTATTGCGGTGTAAGTTCTTGCACTTTTTGGAATTTTATTGGCTTTACCCCGAACTCATTTTTCAATGTTTGCCTAATGCGACGCGGGTTTGGATCAAATCGCTTCTTTACTTTTCGAACCATTTCTGCTGATGTTGCTGTTTTTTCCGTCCACTTTCTTGACGTAGGGCTTCGCTACCATTATCCGGTAACGAGCGGTGGTACGAGACACAGCAGAAATGGTTCGAAAAGTAAAGAAGCAACTTGATCAAAACCCGCGTCGCAGTGGCCGAAAAATGGCTGGTGAGCTAAGCATATCACAATATTCCATTCGGCTAATATTGAAAAATGAGTTCGGGGTAAAGCCATTGAAATTCCAAAAAGTGCAAGAACTTACACCGCAATCGAAAGAAAATAGACTCAATAGAGCTTAAGAATTGCTCCGCTTGGCCGAAAGTGATGAACTGTCGAAATTGGTTTTCTCCGATGAGAAAACATTCGTTGTCCAACAGTTTCTAAACAAACAAAATGATCGAGTTTACTTGCCAAAGAGGTCAGCTGAAAATGTGCACCTTTGGTTGGCAACCAGAACTCAACGCCGGCCATGGTGATGGTGTGGGCTCCCATAACAGCCGATGGTCGCTCTCCGCTCGTATTAATCGATTATCGCGATAATATTCTGGAGGGTGTATTAAAGCCCTGGGCAGGCAAACATTTTGGACATTCCAACAGGACTCCATCACACCATCGCACTCAGTACTCGCTACCCAAGAATGGTTACAAAAATGAGGTTCCACGCTTCATTTCCAGCGCACAATGGCCACCAAAAGCTCCGGACACTAATCCATTGGGCTATTGTGTCTGGTGTATTTTGGAAAGCAAGGTTGGCACTAAAAAATGCCAAAAATACCTAAAAATACCAGAAAACAACTTTCACAGATCTTCTCACTATAAAGGAGCTTTTACAGTTCATCTGTATATAGAAGAGATTTTTAAGCCCTTTTACAAGTTCTTTTATCCATAGAGGCCCTATTACAGTTCGTCCACCCATAGAAGAGCTTTTAATTTTTTTTTACAGTTCATCTGTATATAGAAGAGATTTTTAAGCCCTTTTACAAGTTCTTTTATCCATAGAGGCCCTATTACAGTTCGTCCACCCATAGAAGAGCTTTTAATTTTTTTTTACAATAACTACAGAAGAACATTTAAAGCTTTTCTGCTTATGGAAGTCTTTATAAAGGTCACCTATCTATAGCTGAGCTTTTAAAGATCGTCTGCTTATAGAAACGGGTTTAAAGCTCTTCGGAAATATTTGAAAGATATTCTGTTCATAGAATAGCTTTTAAAGATCCTCTATTAACAGAAAAACGTTCTTTTTTTTTTTTTTTTTTTTTTGATTAACCTAGTCTTTGGTCCATTGAAGTTCTTCCTAAGGTCACTCAGGTTGTGAAATATATCCCATGTATAAAAGAGCTTTTCATTTCCTCTGTGTATAAAAAGATTTAAATCACTCTAGGAAAGCTTTTAAAGCTCTTCTGCTTATTAAAGAAGGCCTTTTTATGGTCTTTTGACCATAGAAGTTCTTCTAAATGTCATCGATCTTTAGAAGAGCTTTTAAAGGCCGTCTGCCCATGAACAGGATTGGAAAGATCTTTGGAGTATGCAAGAGATTTTAAGGGCGTACTGTCTGCAATATGTATTTGAAAGATTTTGAGCTTTTACAAATAATCTGCCTATAAAATGACCTTAGGTGAGCTTTTAAAGAGAGCTCTTCTACTTATGGAAACCCTTAAGGTAAGGTATTTTGTCCATAGAAGTCATTTGTCTAAAGTCCTTTGCCTAAAGAAGAGGTTTAACATTCCTCCGCCTATTAAAGGCTTTATGTAATACAGTTTACCTTCTTTCAGTAAAAAGAGCTTTTGCTAAATTTTACTAAATTAATAACTTATCCATATTTTAAAGATCCTTTGCGTATATTACACCCTCAAAATGTTAAGGCTTCCCTTTGAGCTTTTTCCTCATCAATTACAGATATAACAAGTAAGCAAAGGCTACAGTCGAGCGGGGCCGACCGTTGAATACCCTACAACACTATAATAAATGATAGAGTTTATATAGGCCAGATACGCGAAAAAATTCCACAAGATATTGTGACAATTAATAAAAGAAAACCTTCAAGTTTCGTTCTCTATTTTTTGAATAATAGAAACTTTAACTAATTTGCTCATTTCCAATTTATATGTAGATGTTGCACATAAACGGTCTCCTAAATCTGGGACCAATATTACCCAAAGACCTATAATCTCTCAGAAGTGGCAAAAGATTAACATTTATTATTGGTTTTTGACTGAAACGCATCTATATGAGATACAGACATTTGACTATATTCTTCAACGAAATCAGCCTTAACGAAATAGTCAGAAGTGCGACTTTCCTGTATTTGTGAATCCTCCAAAAAGACACTGGAATGGATATTTTCGTATTTTGTCTTCAAAAGTTGGCAAACTCCTTCACACATTGAATATTTTTGAATGGCCATCCAAAACTATTTGGCTTTTGCATTCAAATGCGGTAACTTCCATTCAAATGCGCGTGAGGATCGGGCGATAATTACGACTTACTGACAATTTTGCAGTTTTTTTTTGTCCATTTCAACCCCTAAATATATGGCGATTATCTCCAAAAAGAGTAGGCTTCTATTCTGACCCTCATCTTATCCCCATGCAAAATTTCATAAGGATCGGGCCATAAATGCGATCTGTATATGATATCCTGATATCCTAACTACTTAGTTTTGTTAGCTGTAGAAATATTACCAAATGTTTAATTCAAAATGAAAATATGCCAAAAATATGACAAAATTGAAAAAATATGAGAAAATGTTACAAAATCAATATTTTCATCTTTAGAGAGATATTTTTATGCGATTTTCTTAGACGTGTTTTCTTTCCTGCCAAGAGGCCATTCTGAATTAATCTTTCAAGCATATCTTCTTTGATAGACATATGTATCGCACATATTTCGCTATATATCCGATTTGTTGGATGTTAACATCAATGTAAAGATCAGAAGTAACCTTGACATGGCTTTGTGATTTCGCCAGGATTTAAAATATTCGCGGTTTAATGAAAAATTTTGAATTTTTTCAACACAAAAGATATGGTCTATTTTACCCGCTAAATATTATCCGATGACCACCCAAATTGGTAGGCTTCTTCCCCGCCCTAAACTCTAGCTACATGCGAAATTCCGCGTCGATTGGTCTATAATTGCGACCTGTATAGCTACTGCAAAATCCGACATTTTTTCAGTACTTGGTCCATTTCAACCCCTAAACATTTGGCGATCATCTCTAAAAGAAATAGGGTTCTATTCTGAACCCATCCCCACCTCCATTCTAAATTTCGTGAAGATCGGGCCATAATTGCGACCTGTAGAGTGATTACAAATTAACATGGACAGACGGACATACATAGCTAGATCGACTCAGCTCGGCGAGCTAGGAAGATCCATATATACTTTCCTATATGGGAAACCAATATTTCGAGGTGTTACATAAATTCTGGCCCAATCAAACTTATAATACCCCCAACACATAGTGTTGTAGGGTATAAAAACACTTTCAATGCTAATAAACTTTCCAAATTTTGTGTATAGAAGAGCTTTTACAGAAGAGCTTTTATAGTTCATCTGCCTATTAAAGAGCTTTCAATGATTTTCCGCATATTAAAGAATTTCTGTAATGCAGTGGAACTGCAAATTAGCTTTAAAAGTTTTCTGCCAAAGAGCTTTCGAATGTTTTCTGAAAATAGAAGAGCTTTACAATATATTATACCCTCCACCATACTATGGAGGATATATTAACTTTGTCA